AATAAATAAGGGGGGGGGGCAGCAAGTAGAGAAATTCCCTAAAAAGGCCAAAAACATAAAGGCTGCCGCCGTGGCGGCGGGGGCCCCGGGATGTGGCGGCGGGTCGCCCTGATCCCGTGTCGCGGCAACCCAAGGCTGGCTCTCCGCAAAAGGACGTTTTCGTAATGGCCGCGATCAATAATTCAATGTGTATTTATAGGCTTTTAAAAAAAGCGAAATGAGCTGCCCCCCCATCACCATGGCGATAAAGGGTCGTCACGGTGACGCGAAGGCCTTATTGCGATCGATTTGAGTCGTGCTATTAAGCTGCGTAAGTGCTCAGGTAATGGCCTTTCCGCTGCTCAAACTCGCATACAAATCGTAAAATAACAGGCTTTCGTTTCGTTACTCCACTATTTCATTTGAGTTGTCCTTTATCCATGATTGTCGCCTAATGTAAGCTTAACCATTTTAACCCCCCCCGCCCCACGGAGTGGATATTTTGGGTCAGGTGAGCGCAGCCCACTGTCGGTCGGGCCGGCAGATTGACCCAGTCCATGGACTCCAGCCAAGCCTGGAAGGGGAACCAGAAAAAAACCACATCTGTGTGTAACCTCCTCCATGTTTCCCTTTGAAACTGTCTTGGCTCGTGTCTGGGCGGCCGAGACGGACTCCAATCAGGGACCTCAGCAAGGAAGTTAGCGGTTTTGTCAAGAAAACGATGTTGGCAGCTGTTTTTGTGAGCAATTCAGTCTAAGTTTTGCTGCAGTTAGTCAATGGGGGGGTGATCTCCAAGAATCTGCCCCCCCGCACACACACGCACACACACATACTTTTGACCTCTGGACCAACCAATTAAATGTAACCAGCTGGTTGTCTGAAGTAACGCGATTACACTAATTAACACCGGTAAGATCAAAAGGTGACTTATTTTAATCCCATTATCTGTTGCCAAATCAGATTATGGCCCATCTGGAGGCCTGGGAATCCATGCCTGGTGTCTGATATGCATTAGCTGGAGAAGATGATTGGCTGTCCCACCTGTCATTCAGAAAGCTGCATCAATCCTATGGGTAGTCACTTGGAAGTTGTCTTTGTGAACGACCCTTATGATTGGCTTATGCAATGAACTGGATCTGAAGGCTGTATAGAAGGGAGAAAAATACTGAAACTTCCATCTAGTCAGGCCACTGTTGTGTGCCACTGCAATAGGGGGTTTAAAATGCATTTTATGAATTATCGTCTCATTCCTGTGTAAGAAAGGTCACTGTTTTCATAGAATGGGTTAAGGCGTATTGGGTATCGGATGTCTGAAAATGATTGGAAGTTATTAAAACTGTGCTTTGGAGATGGTGTCTGATTGGCCGGTGCTGCTGCTGGCTTCGGTGTGGCTGCACAAGCAGGTGATGCTGAACCCCGGCTTCATCTCACCACTGTCCCCTCTGTGTGCCCCCAGCTGCCCGTTCCTGGCATCGTCGCTTAGCCCCGCCATCCCGGCAGTAGGGGGCGTGCTCTTCCTCTTCGTGTTGGGGACACTGCTCCGGACCAGCTTCAGCGACCCCGGGGTCCTGCCCAGGGCCACACCCGACGAAGCCGCTGACCTGGAGAGGCAGATCGGTACGGCCCCCACCGCCATATCTCAAGCTGACTCATTTACTCAGCACTGTTGCTCTGACTTCCTGTCACATGACCTGCATGTTTTTTAGGGATGATCAGCACTGGGTTTTTCCAATCACAGGCAAGCCATGAGACCCTGCATCACAATGGTGGCATTGCGGTCCCCCCCCCATGTCACATGTCCCCTTCAGCGTCTGTTTGGTTAGCCATGTCAGCAGGTCACCATTTACTCGTCTTGCAGCCTTTAGAGAAGCTCGTTCACCCCCCCCCCCCCCCCCCCCCCCCCCCCCCCCCCCCCCCCCCCCCCCCCCCCCCCCCCCCCCCGAAGGACAGCGTCTGGCAGCTCTGTGGGACGTAGGCGTCCACACAAGCGTCACCAACAGCAGCCGGATCCCTCCGCCACTGGAACCGGAAAGTTGCGACACACTCTGGGAGTCTCGTTTCTGTTCAGATGAAACTCACCCCCGGTCGGTCTCTTGATCGGTCTTGTGCTGAGCCGGCGGGCAGTGGGCTCCTGTCCCGGGTGGTGTGCAGATCTGGCTCCCTGATGTTCCGGTCTCAGAGCATGACGCCACAGATGGGACCTCGGACTCCATTCTGGTTTGGAACCTCGCGCTTGTGGCGCCTCGCTTGGAGACCCGAGGCTGTTCCCCCGTCAGCCTGGTGCTGCTGTGGCCTCCGGCCCCCGGCGAGCCCCCTCTCTTTGTGGACGCGGTTCCTGGCCTGCGAATGGCTCTGTGTGTCTGCGTGCGAACGTGCCAGGTGGCTAAAGGATCATATCTCCTTGTTCCCTGTTGCCCAAACCACTGCCTATTTGTCCAGTATAGGATTCCTTAAGCGCAGCAGCCGTTGTACATATTCAGAGCTGAACACTGGGGCTGCTCGGTATATGGACCTTCTGTCGTGACCCGGGTCCATCCTGGACCTCCCCACACTCACGGCAGGCGCCGCACCAGGTCCGCCCTGCTGTGTGTCGCTGGCTGCTGGTGCGTTGGTGCTTCTGTGGTGATGGGGAAATGGTGCCTTTTATCTTCACACCTTTGGGTGTTTTTAAGGTCTTCTCAGTGCTGTTACATTTCCATGCGTGATTTGCCGATACGGTTTGGGTGGGGGCTGCTACTGATGCATGATGGGAGTCTTAGCTGAAAGACAGGGTGTCACTCTGGTTTTCCGGTGACAGGCAGTTGGCTTGTGCAGTGGAGATGTTTGTGGGCGAGACCCGGTCGACAGAGGAATGTGACCCCCCCCCCTTATATATATATATATCTCTCTCTCTCTCATTGTTTGTCTGCCTCTATTTGTTTCTCTCGTCCGTCTGCCTGTCTGTCTCTTTTGGCCTGATGGTGTTCTTGATTCAACAGAACACATGTCAGGTTGCTGCGCACCAGTGACGCTGGGGGGCGGCAGGGAGGTGTGAAATCAGCCACGCCCCCTCTGCGCCACTCCAAACAGCATCTCCTGCCCGATTGGTAGACTGACAGGGGATGTGTCATGTGACTGCCATTAACAGTCTTATTTCTTTGATGAAATTCACAGTAAAAATGTGAAGGATAAATTGGCATTAGATTCTCACAAAGTTGCTTCTTTTAAGCTAATGAACGGCAAAAAGAAATGTTCCGGAAAACTCCTCCAGATGTGTGGCAGCAACCTTGTGCGACCTCACTGCTAAGGTCAAGGTCTAAGCAACGTCTACCTGGATGTAAATGGAGCGTCAGAGCACAGAGTACCTTAGAACCGCCTGGCAGCGTAGGCCCGGGTAGCCATACTGTCCTGTCCCCCCACCCCCTCTCCGGGGTGCGTTTTAACTACCCTGTCACGCATCTGTGATCTTAATGAATGTAGTCTTGGGTTTTGGGTTATGGAGAGTTTCTTTTTTTTTTGGTTTTTTTTTCCTCTCCTCCAGAGGGCAGTAATGGTAGTTTGTTACGGTCATGACTGGCACAATCAGATCCCTCTACCAATGCGGCAGTTTGCCGACGGTTATTAACTAACAGCCAAAGATGGCCTTGACAGTGTCAGCTGGAAGGGACACAACTTCAGGAAGGGCTCCCCCTAATGGCAGACCGTGGGGTCACAGGCACATAGTTATCGCATTCTTATTTTTGGTTATCCAAGCATCAAACATCTCGTAGTTTTGTGACTAGGCCCTGTCATTGGCCACCCCATTTCCCTTTATTCTGCTCGACGACTTCTCATGCAGACCCGGGGTCGGTCCCGGGGAGCCCGATGGCCCACTCGGAGCCGTATTGGCGTTCTTCAGGCAGTGCGCAGAGCGAGAACGTCGTTACGGTCATTTAAAGCCTGACGAAGGGTGTGATGCTGCTAGACCAGAGGGAGGCCATGCGCTCGCGTCAGTGACCAAGCCTCTGCAATCTGCGGCGCTCCGCTGGGTCTGGGCCGGGCGCCAGGCCCGCCAGTATCAGAACCCTCCCCCCCATGCTTTGGTACAATCCTGTAAATGATGCTGGGGCCGGCCCACGTTCTCCGGCATCCTCGTGGGAAGCGGGGGAATACAATAAGCAGAGAGCCGGTTATTTGCTTTCGGGCTCTAATTCCGAGAGTCTTGTTGCCAGGGGTTACTGCATCTGTTTGTGGAGGAAAATAAATCGGAGCGTGTGAGCGAACTCTCCTTTCAGGGACCCCCTCCCTGCAGAGACCAACAGGCTTTCAGGATGACTGGCTTCTCCTGCTCAGTGTGCGTGTGTCCGTCGTGATGAGCGGGCAGTGTTCTAAGGGGACTTTTGTCCACTCCCCACCCCCCCCCCAAGAGGCTTGCTTGTTTTGGCTGGTCTCTGAGACGCATCGTTTAGCAGAACACATGCTGCCTTAACGAGGCCCAAAGTTGTCTTTGAAGCCTGTGCCAGTCTTTTTTTTTTTTCCCCCCCCCCCCCTTTGGGGGAGAGCGGGAACAGACCGAGCAGTTTGCCTAGCGTGCTGTTCGTAATCTCGGCAAGATTGGCCACCGAGATGAAATGCGGCCTCTTTATCTGCGCCTCTGCCCCCATGTGACCCATGTGAACGACCTCTATCCTCTGCCTCAGAAATTTGCCGCTTTGTGTCTTGCTTACATGAATGTGGCATTAACAATCATAATATTTATCGGTGTCGTGTTTTATGTTTATCTGCTTGGTAGAGCAGTCGACGCACACAGCGGGTTTGAACTCCCTAGTAGCTTGTGTGTTCATATTAAGTGAATTGCTAACGTTTAATTCTATCACCTGTGCCAAGGTGAGAGAAGGTAGCAGATGTCCTTCTGGAGGGTGACCGGGGTGCTGAAATTAAAGTTAAATTGTAGCCCCCAGTTCTGTGCTCAGTCTGGGCACTAAGTGGCTCAGCAGGTGAGGGATCTGCATCTGGAAGGGTGTGGGTTCAAATCCCATAGATGGCAGACTAACTGTATCACCCTTGAGTCCTTGAGCTTGGCCCTTATCCCCAGCCGATTGGAGGTCTGCTGGGTGCTGCTCCCTGACCTCAAGCTGTCCTTGCTTGTTTTTAAATATATTTTACCCCCCCCCCTTCCCCCTGCCACACAGTTTACACTGGGATGTGTTTTGGGTCCCATAATGTTACAAGGGGTCTGGCTGAGTGTGGCAGGGAGGGGGCGCAGCGAGGTCTCTGCGAGGGGTGGTGTGCTTGGTCTCTATCATGGGGGTGTGCTGAGGGGCTGTCCTCAAATGCCCCCACTCCTACACTGATATTCGGTCCCCCGCCCCCCCCCCCCCCCCCCCCCCCCCTGCCAGCACCGAAACAGACTATCTAGGTAGAACAGGCAGGAAGCGATGGTTTGCTCTCCAATTTCACTAAATGAATTATAGATTTTCAATGGCTTTAAGTGAAGATGCTTTGGCTGATGCCATTGGCTGTCTTCACTGGCTGGGAAATTGAAGCTGTCTGTCCATGTGAATGTGGGAGAGCTTCGGCGTCGGAGCTGCAGCCCTTGATCCAAAGCGACAGCCATCGGCCCGGCCGCCTACGGCTTCGTCAGGACCGCAGCGTGACCTTGCACTGATTTCCCTGTGTTCCTCAGCATGTGTTGGCACATGCCGTTTGTCACGGGCTCGGACAGTGATTTGAAGGGGGCTGCTGTCATTATGGTCTGCATGTGAGAGTCTGTAGCTAAAACAGCCCCCCCTCCCCCAAGACACCTGACAGCTCCCAGCATCACCTAAGCACCTGGTCGCCGTTGTTCCGCATCCTCAAAACGAGCCGTCATACAGACACCATCAAAAGTGCGGCCGATGTCATTTTTGTACCCGGCAAACTTGCAAAGCGATCCAGGCTTTGTCTGACGACAAGAAGCATCTGCGTCTTATTTGCTTGATTGTCACGTTTCCGAGGTGCCAGAATCGAGAACTGCAAGAATGGTGCGTAAAGGAGGGGGCGGGAGAGAGTCTCGTCGCATCCGACCGCCGCTGCAGATTTCGCATTTACCTCTGGTTTGATGAGATTTGCAGAATGACTTTCACAGGTCAGTGCATGAGGAACAGCAGGCGAGTCGTTTAGATTTACAAATGATCCCGTATTTCAACCTGTTTATACAGTATGAATATCTCAGAGATTAAGTCCGTGCCCCCCATCCTCAAGAATACAACACCAGTGCTCTTGTTGGATTAGAAATGGCTGCCTTTAAGCATTGCACTGTGACCTGAATTACTTTGACTCATTACAATTCATTCATTTATTGGATACTTATGGACTTGCGGAAAGGTTGCAGTTTGGGTGCCTCCTGGGGTTTGAACCCACAACCTTCGTGGTGTTAGCACAGCGTTGTACTTGCTGCTGTAGCAGCTTTTCCCCCTTCCTTAATAAAAAAGGTGCACGTTGGCAAAGGTTAGATGTTTATGAAACAGACGGGACGCACCATTGATGCGTTAGGTAACGGAGTAGAGGAGTGTTCCGCCTGTGTTTGTGTGTGTTGTCTAAGATGTATGAGTCAGTAAGGGGGCTGGCTTGTAGAGGGGACTGGGGTGGTCTGTCTGACCCATTGCTGGTGTGTCTGACTGGGGGGGGGGTGGGCTGTGCATTTTCTGAGTATTTTTGGCGTCAGCAAGGCATGTTTTGGGCTTAGGGTCTTGAAGATTGGAGGCATTTTGATGTCCCAGTGGGTCATTGCCCTCCCATTATGCCCCAGACGGGGCGGTAATTGGTGGTGGATGGCGGAACACGTTGGCAGAGCAGAGGGGAGAGGCGACAGGATGACACAGATTTCGGGGGGGGGGGGGTGCTGGACTGGAGAAGAGAATTAGATAAGGAAGGAGAAAAATGCTGGTTTTGCCTGGACGTCTATGGATGTTTCCATCACTAACCGCCCCCCACCCCTCATGAGGGGGATATTTATTTATTTATTTTCTTTCTTAAACTCTACAGACATCGCCAATGGCACCACTTCCGGTGGATTCCGTCCGCCCCCCAGGACGAAGGAGGTGATCATCAACGGGCAGACGGTGAAGCTGAAGTACTGCTTCACCTGCAAGATTTTCAGGCCGCCGCGTGCCTCCCACTGCAGCCTGTGCGACAACTGCGTGGGTGAGTCTGTGAGGGCCAGCCAGCAGGGGGCACTGTGGGCCGTGTTCATAGCTCAAGGACCCTGCTTTAGTGCCTAATAGGGGAAACTCACTATTTTAGCACTTTTCGCTGTGGCAAAATATCCATCTGTATGAAATAGCTTTGTATAAAAGCAATGTATGTAGTAACGTGTGCGATTGCATGTCATAGCACACACCTGTCACACGTGTTCAGGTACGTGTAGCTGTGTCTTACCGCATGTACTTATGGCGTTGGTAGATGAGTAAAGTGCTGTTTTCTGAGACATGCCTGGATGCGCCACGTCGACGTCGTCGTGCGGTGGCTTAGCCGTGAAAGGCAGAGAATGGCCTCTGGATCCGTAAAGGACTTCCACCCTCACAGAAGCCCGGCGTGCTCTGGGTACATTTGGCGTAAACACACTGCGGTCCTGGAATTCTGTATGCTGGTGGGTCTATGTTTAGTAACGCGACTCGCGAGGTACAGGAGAGGCGTGTGGGTAGAGCGTCCCGGTTTGATGTGAGGCTCCCCCGCTCCAGATCTGCCCACGGAATTGTGGGGGGGGGGGGGGGACTCTACATCCTCCTACCTCAATTATTAGGCAGGAAGGTTTCCAAGGTCCTGGGCATGATGTCACTGTGAGGAGTTTCTTATGGACTGACACCATGTTTTCCAGCCTTGGCTGGTTGCTCTTGAAGGCGACGTTAATAATCACCATCATCATTATTGCTAACAACAATTCCAGTGTCGTGAACTAAGGAACTGTCATCAGCCTTATTAAGTGTTTGAGTTGCCTTTTCTGGAATGTGTTCGCTTTTATAAATCAGAGCAGGATTATGGAAGCTCTGCTCTGTTACTTTCCCGTAAGCTGGTCCATCTAGTCAGTGCATCCAATTTACACGAGCTGCACCTCACGTCAGAATCCTTGTGCCCTGTGCTTTACAAGCATGCGCTTTCGTTGTGCTTCTTTATCTGTGAGGACTGCTTGGCCTGGAGAAAGGGGAGATCAGGCTGTCAGATGTTCCTCCCCCACACCTGACTGGATGTGGCAGGTTAAGGAGGGGCTTGGTTGTCAGCATAATCCTTCCTGGTATAAAACGACCTCTGGCGGCGCTAATACAGGTTGACGTGCAGGTTGAAACCCTCAGTACCTGAACGGCGTTAAAGCAGCGCTTAGAGCAGATTTTTGGAGCAGGTCACCATAGTTTATCATTTCTTTACCTCCTTTTAGTGCCAGGTGTTGGTGTTGGAGGCTATCCTCATTCTGATTAGAAAAGCACTCAGCCCAGAGCAGTTATCTGAGCGTGAAATGAACGTGGGCCTCTGCTCGTAATGGCCCGCTTCTGTCCTGCAGAACACCGTGTTGGGTTAACGGATGAGAGCAGAGTGTCGGGCGAATGGGGGTCAACTCGCTCAGGGTGAGGCAGGTTACAGTGCCGATCGTGTTCAGGTTCTGGGACTGACGTGGGGCTGTCATGTTCAGCCTGACAACGTTCATGATCCACGTACCAGCTGAGAGTTTGGATATTGAGATGGGGGTGTTCACCCAGTTGTCTTCACGTCTTGGTCGCTGCTCCTGCGAAACCTACACGAGTGATCGTTGGATGAAACACTGGGGCCAAATGGTGGCATGAAGCTCTTCCAGGTTTGTGAGCTTCCATCTGAGAAGACAAGAGCTTCCACTCTACCAGGCTTTCCTGATCTTGTCCAAAATCTGCTCATCCTCCACAGAACGGTTCGACCACCACTGTCCCTGGGTGGGCAACTGCGTGGGCAGGAGGAACTACCGCTTCTTCTACATGTTCATCCTCTCGCTGTCCTTCCTCACCATTTTCATCTTCGCCTTCGTCATCACGCACGTCATCCTGCGTAAGTAGACGCTTGACTCGACTGGTCGACAGACATTAAGTGGGGCTTGTGATGCGTTTGGTCCATGTACCTATGTATGCGGGATGAGAACAAAAGTGTGTGTTAGGTAGGAATTTTTGGGGGGGTCTGGAGTGAGCCCACTCAGTTCCATTCCTGATAGTTATTTGTAGTGCCCCTCCCAACATGGTTCCCCTAAAGCACTCGTATGTTAACTGAAGGTTGTAGGTTCAAATCCCAGTTACCTCTTGTCTCCCTGAGCCATGATACTTAACCCCAGTTCCAACCGAATCTACAGCTGTATCATTTCATTCTTGAGCCTCTCTCCTGGGAGCTCGTGGGGGGATGGGCGACCTTTGTTTTGCATCCTCATGTCAGCATTTGTTTATCTTCCCGGTGCTGGTAACCTTTTGGGCAATTACGGCATTAATAAATTCGTCTAATGTAGCGCGCCGTCTGGCCTGTTGCCATGGCTCCTGGTTTTGGGGTAATATCAGGTCTGCCCCTCACCTCTTCCCCTCTGTTGTGTGTAAGGAAGGGATGCGTGCGGGAAGTAGAGGGTTCTGTCACCGGTTCCCTGAAGAGCCGTAGGTGGCCAGTTCGGTCAGGGATTCGGGTCCTAAGTCATTGGTGCTTCACCCTCTTATGGGGGCCTTTTCCTCTCCATGTGGCCACTGTAAAATGATGTAGTGAGAGTCCCGGCCCCAAGCAACAGGCTAGAGTGTGTGTTTGACTTTTGACATTGTCCTCTCCTCTTGTGCAGGGTCCCAAAGCATGGGCTTCCTCAGTGCCCTCAAGGACAGCCCTGCCAGATATCCTTGTCCAGCTTGTGGAAGTGTGTGTCTGTGTCTGTGTCCGTGTCCATCCAAATCAGGCACTCACCAGGCCACCTTTGGGGCTACCACAGACCCCAGGGGCTACCACAGACCCCAGGGGCTACCACAGACCCCGGGTTCCCCTCATATCACATCCTCCCTTGGGGGCCTGCACCCCCATACTGTTCTCTATGTTCCTGCTGAGTCAGGAAGGACGTGCACTGTCACACCGTGTCCCTTCAAAGGGGACGTCTTCTTTGAGGGGCTGCTCCAGTCTCTGTCCTCGGGACTGTATACTGTTCCATTGGATCGCTTTTCTCGTTTAAAATAAAAATAAAATAATGGAGAGTATCATGTATCATTTTTTTTTAAATAAACATATTGCAGTTTGAATTAGATGTAGTTTAGCTTTCTCAAATTTATCCCTGCTTAAGGCTTTTCATAGTAAGATGGTCCACTCGTTTTATCTTGAACCTGGAAAACGCGACATGATCCGGTGTTTTCCAGCCCCTCCGCCATTTCCTTCCTCCTCCGCCCAAAGATGTGCTTGTGTTTTGTTGACGGCCATCATTTCACCCCCAGCTCTGACTGGAAGTGCTGCAAAGGTCTGCTGTTTTGAGGGGGGTCGCGGACTCGCAGGCGTTCACTCACAGCGCTCATTTTTATCTATTTTTCTCTACTCCTGCATTTTTTGTGCTTATTTATACCTTTTTTGGGGGGGGGGGGGGGGGGGGGGCGGACTCTACATCCTCCTACCTCAATTATTAGGCA